AAAAAAAAAAAAACAAAAAAAACGTATTTCTGTATTCATACGACGCTCCGGGTGCTTCAAGGATGTTCTAGTGCATACTACAAGAAGAAGAAAATGAAGAAAAAAACGTATGTTTCTTTATTCATACGACGCTCCAGCAGCTTCAAGATGTTCTAGCTCATACTAACAAGAAGAAAAAATGAAGAAAAAAACGTATTTCTGTATTCATACGACGCTCCAGCAGCTTCAAGATGTTCTAGCGCATACTACAAGAAGAAAAATGAAGAAAAAAACGTATTTCTGTATTCATACGACGCTCCAGCAGCTTCAAGATGTTCTAGCGCATACTACAAGAAGAAAAAATGAAGAAAAAAGAAAAAAAAAAACGTATTTCTGTATTCATACGACGCTCCGGCAGCTTCAAGATGTTCTAGCGCATACTACAAGAAGAAGAAAAAGAAAAAAAAACGTATTTCTGTATTCATACCGACGCTCCAGCAGCTTCAAGATGTTCTAAGCGCATACTACAAGAAGAAAAATGAAGAAAAAAACGTATTTCTGTATTCATACGACGCTCCAGCTGTTCATGGAATCAAAAAACGTAAGGATAGTGTGTGAATCTTAGTGATAATGATGTAGTTAATGGTTGATGAGGATAAGATAAACGGGTGAAGACAACGGCAGCATATCTAATTATGATAACAGTAATGATGATGGAGATGATCAAGTATAACAACAAGGATTAGACTGTTAACAACTATAATAATGGGAATGTTAATCATAAGGATAACCCCCCCAAAAAAAAAAAAAAAAAAAAATAATGATAGTAGTGGTAATAACGATAGCAAGGCTAATAATAATAAAAATAGATATATACATATAAATTAATGTACATATATATATATATATATATATATATATATAATATATATATATATATAGTATATATATATATATATATATGTATATGTGTGTGTGTGTGTGTGTGTGTGTGTGTGTGTGTGTGTGTGTGTGTGTGGTGTGTGTGTGTGTGTGTGTGTGTGTGTGTGTGCGTAAAGAGACAGAGAGACGAAGAGGGAGACAGACATCCCGACAGATGGATAAATGGATAAAGCATTTCAGTCAACAGCATCCTGATTACAATCAAGCGAAGGAATGACGTGTTGACATTGCTCGGCGTTGGGACGGAGGTGAAGGGAGCAAGAGGGAAGGAGGGAGGAGGAAGAGGAGAGAAGGAGTAGATGGGGGAGAAGGCGTAAGAGGAATTAAGGCGTAGGGAGAGAGAATGGGAGAAAGAAAGATCACGTAAAAAGGAAAATGCTTTAAGCCTAAAATCTTTGGGGAAATTAGAAATGCGAAGTAGGGAAGAGAGAAAGAGAAGACAAGAAGACGAATAAAAGGGAGGTATGTGAAAGGAAATGACAAGAAAAAAGATGGAATAATAAAGGCGAATATCGCGTTTCATGGGAAGAAGGAGAAGGAGTCGGAGAGATAATGGGCTTGCGAGTTAAGTCGATGTGAAAATGCATAGATAAAGAGATGGAGAAAAGAAATAGGAGAGAGAGAGAGAGTGAGAGAGAGAGAGAGAGAGAGAGAGAGAGAGAGAGAGAGAGAGAGAGAGAGAGAGAGAGAGAGAGAGAGAGAGAGAGAGAGAGAGAGAGAGAGAGAGAGAGATAAAGAAAGATAGATAGAGAGATTGAGAGAGAGAGAGACGTAGAGAGAGAGAGAGAGAGACAGAGATAGATAGAAAGATAAATAGATAGAAAGATAGATAGATTGACCACATTTTTATACAGAGAAAAAATTATATATAGCGAACAAAAAAATGATATTAGTAATTACGATAATGATAATGATACTTCTACTGCTACAGCTGCGGCTAATGATATCAATGATGGTAATATCAACAAAAACAACAAGAAAGATAATATCAATAATGACAAAAACAATAATGAAAATTATAATTATTATGATAAACCTCATAATAACATTAATAGAGCAGACCATTTAGCAGCTGAAATAATATGTCGGTTTTTTGAATGATAAAAAAAAGAAAAAAAAAATCCAATTCATACTATGTCTTGTCACACCCCAGAATTCCTGTTTATTTTGGTGGTCAAGTCTTTTAACTTTGATTGCAAAAGTCTACGTGTCTGAGAGCCTTATTTCAGTTCTTGCTGTTTTGTTTTGTTTATTTATTTTTTATGTGTTGTGTGTGAGTGCGTGTACATTTATACATATCTGACTATCTATCTTTCTATCCACACAGACACACACACACACCACACACACACACACACACACACTACACACACACACACACACACACACACACACACACACACACACACACACACACACACACAACACACACACACACACACACACACACACCACACACACACACACACACACACACACACACACACACACACACACACACACACACACACACACACACACACACACAACACAACCCACCACACACACACAACACACACACACACACACACACACACACACATATATATATAATATATATATATATATATATATATAATATATATACATATATGTGTGTGTGTGTACATATACTATACCACACACACACACACACACACACACACACACAACACACACAACACACACACACACACACAACACACACACACAACACACATATATAAATATATATATATAATATATATATAATATATATATATATATATATATTAGTATATATAATATATATATATATATATATATATATAATATATATAAATATATATATCAGAAATGACTATATCAACAACGAACTTTTATCATCCCAGAAGCCTACTTGGCGCTAGACTCCTGAAATATGGAACAGCATCACTCACGTCCAAGTCCAAGCATTGTGGCTGAATAACATAATGTCTGCTAGTGTGTCTGTCTGTCTTATCTGAGGCACGATACGCGTCACTGCAATGTCTGCTGGCTTGGCGTGAAGAAGAAAAAGAGAGAGAACAAAGAAGGGAAAAAGGGGGAAAAAAGGATAATGTGAAATGGGATTGGAGTGTCTTTCTTAACTTTATCGTTTGTTGCTTTTACTGTGAGCTTTATTTCTTTTCTTGTGTTTTATATCATCAATTGTTTTCTTTTATGCAATGTGCTAATTCTGCTACTCATGCTTTGCTAATGTTGCAGTCATCTATTTATACATTCATGCATAAATAAATATATTCATTCATATGTATATATGATATGCAAAAGACAATTGAAAAGAAATGATTTAAACAAACAAGAACATTCTCTATCTTTTCAGACATTCCTTTGTCATTTTTCCATTCCTCTCTCCCCTTTTTCTCCGTGTCTGTCTATCTGTCTGTCTTTCTGTCTGTCTGTCTCTTTCTCTCCCTCTCTCCCTCTCTCTCTCCCCTTTTCCTTCAATTCATTATTTTTTTCCTTTTAACTGCACAGTTTTTTTTTCTCCTTTTACCTTTAAAAGAATGATCGCATCAAAAAAAAAAAAAAAAAAAAAAAACATATATTTCATTTTTCACTTCTTCATCTTATGAAATATAATCATCCTAATTAACCATAGAGTTACTAATGAGATTCTACGGCACCCCTGCGCCCTCTTGATTAGGGGGAAAAATCGAAAGGAGAGGTTTGTTGTTTGTGAGGAAAGGGGGAGGGAGATCCCACGACAGAAGAGGGAGAGAGGGAGGGAAAGAGAACAGACAGACAGAGGAGGGAGGGAGGAGGGAGGGAGGAGGGGAGGGGAGGAGAGGGAGGGAAGGGGAGGGAGGGAGGAGAGGGAGGGAGAGAGGGAGGGAGGGAGAGAGGCGAGGGAGAGAGAGAGAGAGTAGAGAGACGAAAGAGAGACGAGAAGAGAGAGAGAGAGATGAGAGAGAGAGGAGGTGGGAGCAGAGGGAGAGAGAAGAGAGAGGAGAGAGAGAGAGAGAGGAGAGAGAAGAGAGAGAGAGAGAGAGAGAGAGAGAGAGCACAAGACAGACAGACAGACAGACACACACACAGGGAAACAGATAGACAATAGGCAGACAACCAAACAGACAGACATTCAAAAAGATAAATGGCAAAGAGATAGAGAGAACGAGAAAGAAATTTTCCCACGAACGAAAGAAAGAAAAAAGAAGAGAATAGAGAGAGGGACAACGAAAGAGGAACACAGAGAGGGGATGATAAAGAACATATTAAGGAAAATGGGGAAGGCATAAGTCTACCGAAGGTGTCGTAAAGAAAGGAAACTGAAATTAGTGGAGACTTATCCGGAATCTTTTACGGATAAGAAGTCGGGATGCTGGAAGAAGGAAGGAGAGAAGGAGGAGGGGAAAGTAAAAAATAAGATAAGAGAAGGGGAAGAAGGAAGAAAAAGGAGGAGGAAGAGAAAAGGAAGAAATATAAAATAAAGGTGGGCAAGGATAGGATATATATATATCGGGAGGAGAAAAGGTGAGATGCGACAGGACGAGGAAAAGTAAAAGATAAGCAGAAGGGGAAGAAGGAAGAGCAGAGAGGAAGAAGAAGAAAAAAGGAAAAATATAATGGTGAGAAGCAGGGAAGAAGGAGAGGGGGAAAAGGAGGTGGAAGGAAGAAAAGGAGGNCCACCCCTCCTCCTCCTCCTCCTCTCCTCCCTCCTCCTCCTCTCCTCCTCCCCTTCCTCCTCTCCTCCTCCCTCCCCTCCCTCCTCCTCCCCCCTCTTCCTCCACCTCCCCTCCTCCTACCACTCCACTCACCCTCCTCCTCCTCCTCCCCCTCCCCTCCTCCACCTCCTCCTCTTCCTCCTCTTCCTCCTCCTCCCTCCTCCTCCTCCTCCTCCTCCTCCTCCTCCTCTCCTCCTCCTCCCCCTCCTCTCCCCTCCCCTCCACCTCCCAAAGCCCCAACCTCCCTTCCCCTCTCCTCCTCCCCTCCAAAGCCCAACCTCCTCCTCCCCCCCTCCCCCTCCCCCTTCCCCTCCCCCCTTCCCCCTCCAAAGCCTCCTGACGAAGACCTATAACGCGCTCCCTTCCTCCAGGCAGTCGCGAGGCGGCCTTCACCTACGCCCTCCTGAGCGCCGGCGTCGCCTACAGCGTGACGGCGTCCTGCGCTCGCGGCAACATCTCCACCTGCGGCTGCGACGACCGCAAGCGGGGCCGTTACAGCGCCTCGGGGTGGAAGTGGGGCGGCTGCAGCGCCGATATAAAGTAAGTGCGTTTTTGAGTCGGAGGAAGAGGTTGGTGATAAAGATGGGTAAGGAGGGAGTAAGAATGATTGTGATTGTAAAGAATATGATGATGTTTATGATAAATGATGATAATGATGATGATAATGATAATAATGATAATAACAATAATGATAATGTAATAATAATGATGATGCTTAAATAATAAAATGATAATAATAATATAATAATAATGTAAATAATAAATAGTAATAATAATATGATAATAATGACGATAATGATAATAATAATGATTATATATATATATTTATATTTGTATATACATGTGTACATAAACATTACACACACACACACACACACCACACACACACACAACACACAACACACACACACACACACACACACACACATATAATATAAATATATATATATATATATATATATATATATATATATGTATGTATGTATGCATGTATGTATATGTGTATATATATGTATATGTATATATATGTACACACACATACACACACACATACACACACACACACACACACACACACACACCGCACACACACACACACACACACACAACACACACACACACACACATATATATATATATTTGTATGTATGTGTATATATATGTACACATATATACATACATATATATGTACATACATATAAATGCATACAAAAATATGTATATATTTACACAAATCCATACATATATATCAATTATACAAAATTCATAAATCATAAACCCACATTCAATTTTCCCGCGCTCTCGAAGCCCTGTCACGTGACCTCCATCCGCAGATACGGAATAAAATTCGCGCGCAAGTTCGTGGACGCGCGGGAGGTGGAGGGCGACGCGCGGGCGCTCATGAACCTGCACAACAACAAGGCCGGACGGAGAGTAAGGACCTTCTGCATGGGCGTCCTGGGGTGTTCTTCAGGCCAATGGCTCGAAAATGCGTTACTGGAAGGGTGTTGTAAACTCTTGTCTATCGGCCAGTTTGTTGGAATTGTGCGAGGCATACAGGCATGCTTTTACACATAAATGTATATCTGTTTAAATATCTGATAGATATACATTTAACCATCTATTTGCCGGGTTGATATGTATGTCTAGACTGATAAATAAGCATTTATTTTCTTATTCATGCATGTCAAGTATACATATTCTCTCTGGATCGGGCCTCGTATACATCGTATATCGTATAATTTTAACAAACCGGCCGTAGAACTTGAGATTCGATGTTTTCACGTTTATGCACTTCCATTGCTTTAAACGAGAGCTTAGCTAACATATCGTCTCGTATGTTTTCGGACAATTGGTCTGCAAACACCCCATGCCGCATTTTAAAAAATTGTTGGCGTTTTTTTTTTTTTTTTTTTTTTTTTTTGTAACAAACACCCCATGCCGCATTTTAAAAAAATGTTTGCGTGTTTTTTATTTGTTTTTTTGTTTCTAAGAATAGCGAAGAGCTTTAGTCTTTAGCCCTTTAGTGGTTATCAAGAATAGCGAAGAAGAGTGTTGTTGATAGGTTTTCAAGAATGGCAAAGAATACTGATATTAAATAATTCATATTCGGAGACTTGTAGGCGGCCAGGAGGGTTAGAGACGGTTTTATTTGCATTTGATCACGTTTTTTGTTGTTGTTGTTGTTTTGTGTAACTGCTTCTGAACCATGTACAGCTACACAGAAAACCATTGTTAGGAGGGGTGTCTAAACATTCAATAAAAAACCTAACCTGATGTTTCGAAGGGTTGATATTTTGGGTTTCAAATTTGTTTCTTTCTGATTCATGTCTCGAATATTCGTTCTAGAATTCATATGGATTTACTGTGAGATGATGAATTTATTCCCGTAAGGAACAGAATATGCCTTGTGATATTCAGATAAGCCACACGTAACCAAATGTAGTTGGAAAATCAGGGATACCACCAGTTTTATTGTATTGACAATTATATTTCAAAAAGTATCGTTGCTTGTATCATAATGTTTAGCATGATTTCCTAATGATATTTTTCCGTGTAGCTGTACTTATTTACATAGCATCAAAATCGTTTGATAAACAACACAAATACAGAATGAAATACAGAAATCTGGCATTTAGGTGATCCGCATGCATCTCTACTTTATAGCAGAACGCATACAGATTTTACTGATTGAGTCTAGATTAAGATTTTTTTAATGCCGTAGTCCTTAAGATAGTTTGGAACGTCTCTAACCCTTCCTTTCTCACAGCTGTTTGAACAGAGTCTCTGAAAGGAATTGCACCATTCTTATAAATAAAAATCGTATAATTTGAATATATACATTTCTGCTAAGGCCGTTGTTCTTAGAAGTGCATACTTTTTCGCTGATTTT